ACCCCACCTCCAACCCAGGGACCCACCACCCACCCCACTGAACCCTAGTAGATCCCAACCGCCATTGGCCAACTCAACTGAACCCTAGAAGATCCTGGCCACCATTGGCTGCCCCGTCTCAAGCTCTGGAAGACCCTGGCCACCATGTCATCCCCACCCTTTGCCATCAACCACCGCCTGTGTTTGGGGGTCTACGCGAGTGCCTTCACCTTGGGGTTGCCCCTCAACGTGGCAGCCCTGGTGGCCTTGGGGACAGTGGCCCGACGCCGGCGCCTGCTGCCCGCCGACATCCTCCTCCTCAACCTGACCATCGCCGACCTAGCGCTGGTGGCCTCCTTGCCCATCCGCATGGCCGAGGCGGCATGGGAAGCCACCTGGAAGCTTCCACCGGCCCTCTGCCCGCTCTTCGTCTTCCTCTTCTTCACCAGCATCTACCTCACCATCCTCTCCCTCACCGCCCTCAGCGTTGACCGCTACCTCAGCGCCGCCTTCCCCGTCCAATACCGCCGGCGCCGACGGGCAACCCACGCCGCCGCGGCCGCCGCCGGCTTCTGGGTGGCCGCTTTGGCCCACTGTAGCGTGGTCTACGTGGCCCAACCCGACGCGGCAGTCAACGGCACGGCGTGCTACACCCGTTTCGCCGGTCCTCAGCTGGCCGTGCTGCTGGCTCTCCGCCTGGAGATCTTCCTGGTGCTCTTCTGCCTACCCTTGGCCATCACCGCCTTCTGCTACGGCCGCTTGGTCTGCATCGTGGTCTCCCTCCCCACCGCGGCGCCGGGTAAGAGACAACGAGCGGTGGCCCTGGCGGCGGCCACGGCGGTGGCCTTCATCCTCTGCTTCGCCCCTTTCAACGTCTCCCACGTGGTGGGGTACCTACGGCGGGAGAACCCACCTTGGAGAGCCTACGCCGTGTTGCTCACCACCCTCAGCGCTTGCCTCGACCCTCTCATCTTCTGCTTCTCCTCCGCCACCCTAAGACAGGGTCTCTGGCAGGTTTGGGACACGGTGGGACTCGGTCGGCTCTGTGCCAGGCGCCGGCTGCCGGTGGGGCAAAGCGAGGGTCCGGCTGAGGTGACTGGACGTGGAGGATCTGGAGCATCTTCACATCAAGGGGTAGATGGTGCTGAGCCGGTGACACCTTGGGGGCTTCAGACCTGAAAGAGCCCAACGTGGGACGTGGTTTTGGGGGGGGGTTGTGGGATGTGTGGATGGCTTGGGGACGGTTTTGGGTGAGATGAGGAGGTGTTTGGTGGTTGGGGCAAGCTAAGCTGGAGCTTTATGAGCCATTAAAGGCTTCCTTGGGCTGGGTGGGTTGAGTTGGGTTCACCTGAAGCTTTGGGTTGAGTTGGGGTCTGCTGACACGTCGGGTTGAGGTGGGGTCTGCTGAGACGTCGGGTTGAGGTGGGGTCTGCCGAGACGTCGGGTCGACGTGGGGTCTGCCGAGACGTTGGGTCGACGTGGGGTCAACAGAGACATTGGGTTGAGTTGCTTCTCCTGCCCTCTTCCCCCTCATCATCCTCCAGTTCTGAGGTCACGGGCAGCGGCCAATGCATCTCTCCTGCATCTGGGTCCCTTCCAGGAGAGCCAATGGGGTGAAAGTAGGGGGTGGAGGGGGGGTGGAGACCTACATGCCTGAGTCTTCTCCTGGCTCTGGAGCCAAGTAGGTGAATGTAGGTTGACAGGGGTGGGAATCCGGGTGCCTGGATCCTCTCCAGTGCCCATTGGGTGAAGGAAGGTCATGGAGCGTGGGAACCTGGACTTCTGGGTCCTTCTCCTCCCATAATGCCCTGGGGCCGAGCCGCTGCCCCTTCCCTGGTGCTCCTTGTCCCCATTTCCAAGGAACTTGGGATTCCCTCAGGGAAAGCGGAGAGCAGCCGGATGCCTGGGTCTGTTCCCAGATGCCGGAATCCCTTGGGAAGACGAAGAAAGGATGTCTGGGTCCTTGGGTGCGGTGTGGGGAGGAAAAAAGACATCCCCCCCCCCCCGCCCCGCGGGCGTCTGGGTCCCCTGCGGACGTGTGCCCATGAACGTGGCTTTTGGCTGCGGTCAAAAAAAAAAAACCAAAATATAAAAACTTCCTCGATGTTATCGAAGCCACTTCCCCCTCCTCCCCCCATTACCAGAGGGACCCAGGCATCCGGGGAAAGAAGGGGGGGGTGGGTTTGGGAGGGTGAGGGGTGAGGGTGAGGGCACCCAGACATTTGGGACGGGCCCCCGGCGTTGGAGGCCACCCAAAATCCTGTTGGGATAATAAGGTACGTAGGGGGAATA